TGCTTTCAGGACATAACGAATTGACGAGGCCATCCATCATTCGTTAGCATACACTGAAACGTGGGCTCTGTGTGCAGAGGCCTGTGATTTAGTAAATACTTGGGAGATGAATAGAGCTTACACACAAGGGAAGAGATTGCTGTCCTTCAGCAGCCTGAGACCCAGGCGCCTGCTGAGAAGGCCATCTGACGGCACATCATCAGTAACTGGCCTGTCACAGTTAGCGGTGCCCACCGACCATCACCAGTATATTAAATGCATTTTTAATATCTGCTCCAGTAGATTTAATGAAGAAAATTTAGTTTCCATACTCTAAGCACTGCTTCTTCAAGTATTCTAAGGCATGGACTCTTGCCTTGACAGGAAGGGGGAAGACCATGCTGGCAGTTAGGGAGTGGATTTAAAGGGACACAGACAAAATAATGTGCAAATAAAAAAAGCTTTTAGCAGAGTTGGCATCTTGTTGGTATAAAAAAAGCGCATTTAAAAAAAAAAAATTATCTTCTTTCACAAGCCCTTCCCCTAGGAGGGGTGAACCTGATGGTAAGAGATAGAAGCCTACTGGTCAGAAAGGAACTATTAGAAGGGGAGTATTATGATTTGGCATAATTTGAATAGAAAGACTCCATTTTAAATTGGTTTGTGTTTTGAGATACTGTTTGATTCTTAGGATTTTTGAACGTCTATGTAAAGTAGAATTTTTTTACCCCTTTTCTTTTGCATTTTTGAATGTTGAAATTTACTCGTTACATCAAGTTAGTTAGTGTATATTTTTTTTCTTGTGTCATGCAGAACAGCGCAAAACGAATGTAAAAAAAATCAGTTGCCAACTTGATTAAAAGGTGCTCTTATACTTTCTTAGACTATAAGGTTTCTTTAAAAACTATAATTTTTAAAATGTTCTATTTTAATGTTCCGGCAAAGTGTGTAGATTCATTCTTTTTAATGAGTTTCAGTGTTGACATTATTTACTACAAAACAGCAAGACAACCAATTAGATATTGTTGCAAGCATGCACTTTAAAGGTTTCCCCTCTTATTTGAAAAAAACACATCCAGAATGTGCTCTCATGTTCGCAGAAGAAGCTACGGAATGGGACCTATAAATCTGATTCCCGCATGTGTCAAAACAGTAATGTATTAAATGCATATTATTATAAAAATTTAAGACATGTCTTAAACACACTTACATTTTTATAACACATGGCAATATTAAATAATACATTTCCTTGTTAGCATCTGTTTGCCGTCATTGTTGGCAAGACCTATGATTTATTGCTTAAATTAATGACCAAGACCATTTTGGACCTGATATATGCCCCTAAGCTTATTACATCACTAAATAAAATAAAATGTATGCACTTGTGACAGAGTTATTTTTATAATTGTTTATCCCTTTAAGTGCCCTATTCAGTGATTCACTGAAAGGTTCATAATGGTTGGCTTGTGACCAAAAAAGAATCTCAGAAAGGTAAAATATATTTCTGGACTAGAAATAAAATGCCAGGGTGATGGTGATGATAGGGTCCCAGAAAGATTTTGCAGCACTCAAACTCATTCCCTTCTTCAATGCTCTCATTGAACTCTTGTTGAATTTTTTTGATGCACAACCTCCCTCCCCTACCCCAACTCCTAATGCTATCTTGTAATGTTAGAGTTCGTCCTCCTATAAACCCTTCAATATGGGTAAAGTGGTTTTGTTCCCACATGAAGCTGCAAGGGTTAAATGGTTCTTGACTTAGGATTTTTCAGGTGCCATTGTCACCATGCATGAAACTGAGCAAGATTATTTTCCTATTTTAGTTCTTTTTTTGGGGGTGGGGTGGGGGGAGATTGGAACTTCACTGTTTTTGTATTGAGCTCTATTTGACTTCATAGTCTTTATCTTTCCTTTCTGAGAGTGCAGTGTGACAGACCCTTCAGTTTTTATAGTAACCTGTTATTCATCCCAAGTCACTCTGCTGCCTGACCTGGAACACAGTGTAACATGGCTTCTTGGTTTTCTTGCTCCACGTGAAGCATCTCATTGGTTGGCAGCTCTCCTGTCATTGATGTGAAGGCAGAGTTTTTGAAGAGCTTAATGGAGCCTCTGTGGGTACCTGTGAGTAACACTTGTGGGAAGATTATTGTTTTGTAGATATCTTGGGATGATCGTCACTCATAAATGGAAACAAAACTTGGTTCCTAAGAAAGGCCTTTTTCTTTCTTTTCATCTCACTTTGACTGCATCTTAAACAAACTAGTTTATTGGAAATTAAAACTGTTGGTTTTTTGTTTTGTTTTGTTTGTTTTTTATATTCTTTCCCAAAGCAGTTGATCTGATAGAATTTATAATGGTTCTCTCAAAAATGGTCAGGCCAGCCCTAACCGGTTTGGCTCAGTGGATAGAGCGTCAGCATGTGGACTCAAGGGTCCCGGGTTCGATTCTGGTCAAGGGCATGTACCTTGGTTGCGGGCACATCCCCAGTGGGGAGTGTGCAGGAGGCAGCTGATCAATGTTTCTCTCTCATTGATATTTCTAACTCTCTATCCCTCTCCCTTCCTCTCTGTAAAAAATCAATAAAATATATTTTAAAAAAATGATCAGGCTAACAAACATTCCTGTTTTTCTTGAAAAGGTATATTGACTTTTTCTACACCTCCCATTTCTGATCTATACGTCATTCTTTTCATTTAAAACTTCCTTGTCTGGGACTCCTGCCTTCAGATAAAACATTTTAAAGGAAAATTAATGAAAAAGAGTCTCAAGTGCCAATTACTCTCTCTCACGTTCCCCCCCCCCATTTTTTTTTTTTTTGCTTTGACTATTGTAGTTACTTTCACCTATTCACTTGGCATATATACACCCTGTCTTTTGCTTTCTGTTTGACTGATTGGGAATTCCTTGAGGAAAGGAGCCATCCATGTGTTTTGCTGTGATTGTATCTTTCAGTTCCTCTCTTAGGTGCCTGGACAGTGTTGTCCTTTATGCATTGAATGGATTTTTGTTAACTGTCTAATACTGACCAGTATTTATTTTTATGATTTCTTTTGAGGAGAAGATAACTCAAAAAGCATGTTTCTACTTTTTGGCCAGTATTATTCTATCTAGTATCATATAATGGACTTGCTATTCTTTCTAAGATTGTTTCTTAAGCTCTCATTCTCTGGGTTGGGATGTTTAATTCCTATTTAAAAATATTAAAATATTCAGTAGGCAGCTAAGTGCTTAGCCTGGTGTACTACTTAACACTAAATGAAAGTAAAATATAACACCAACATGGAGCCATTTGTTATATTTTAGTAGATGAAGCAATGGCTGTGTAAACCTTAACCTTGTAATTTTGTGAGTTCCACTTTATCATGTAGCTGTAAGGGTAATCAAAATAAATCACGGGAGATGAATAAATATTTTCTAGTGCTTTCTCTGTGCTTTCAGAAGTGATGCTCGATCTATGAAATTTTAGTAAATGTATTAAGTAAAACAGTATGATGCACACCGTGTCAAATCTGATTAGTTATTTGGGATAGGACATTTATACAACATATGTTGAGCTGCTACGTGAACAGTTTAATGACTATAAATTATGTTAATCTGTCTGGCCATTTTTACATTTTGTTTAAAATTGTACTATTTGTAATATAGATAGATAGATATATTCGGGGGGGAGTGGGCAGGGATAAGAAGAAGGCATAAGAAAGGCGCAGGTCATCTCTGCAATGTTCTGACAGTGATCCGGGGCTCCTCAGCTGTGCAGTGTACATAACACAGATGTTGGGGAGTCATCTGTCAGCCATGCCTCTCCTATGGAGTTAAAGTTCTAGAGGGAAAAGAATTTGACACAGTGCTGTCACTGTTACATTTTCACAATAGAAGAGCATGCAAATATTGAACCTCCTGCTTAGCAGTAGTGCCCTGTCTAATGTCTGTGCTGGTTAGAATAAAAAATCATGGGTGCATCGTGGGCTCAGAGATCTGACAAAGGTCATGCCATGTTGGGCATTTGAATTGGAAATTGTCTGGACTTAGATTTTATGAAGCTCCCACTGTTGTGTGTGGGGAGAACTGCAGCAGGGTTTTTGTCCCTGGAGAGGCCTCTTAGCCTCTTTTCTGTCCTATGGATGAATTTAGATGTGAGGGTTACTCCTGCCTTAAAACTGTTAAGTTCACTTTGCATACATCCCTGGAGAGAAAAACTGGCAGATGCTTTTGTCTTGGAAGTGTTTAAAAGAAAACTGCAGAGCAGGAACAAGAGAGAAAAGGGGCCCTGTGTGGAGTCCCAGAACATTTTGGAAATGGCCAATATGCAGTTTTCATCAGTATGAAGGCGGGGTGCAATATGGTGCCTGTAGCTCACAGGGGAATATGAATGTTGATTAAGCATACTCCCAGGCTTTGAAATTCTGAAAGCAGTGTCAGAATAATGGATGTTGAGCAAATGTCAAGCATTTGTTAATTTCTCTGTTATTTGGAGTTTATCTACCATGATCAATCAAATAAACTAGTGCTTCTCTCTTGTGGCATGTGTCATTGATATGGTGATTAGGTGGCTAGAGAGACCTTCTGCTTTTTTTCCAGGTAAAAGATTATAAATGAGTAAACAGAGCTTTTTGGGTGAAGACTTGTTTATGGCTTGGTTTAGTAGAAATTTGGCTCTTAACTGTGGACTTTGGTGGTGGTGTAAAAATCGGTGGCCACCTGCCAAAGATATGAACTGTGGTGCCATTCATACCAGAAGAGCAAGTACTTGTGTTATGGTTTCCGTGGAAAGAGAGCTTTCGTAGTTTATAAGACTTTGATGTAAAACTGGGAGAAAGAAATGTGATCTTGAAAGAGTTCTGACCTATTAACATTTGTAGATAGAGTTTTTGATCTATTTTTATTGTTGTCTCACCCTTTCCTGCCACCCCTCTCCCCACTTCAGTGGTTAATACTAACTCAGTGATTGACTTTTATCCTTGAGGCGCAATCAGCAGATTTGCTTCATGTGGTCTGAAGTAATTTCTTTCTGTTATTTTTAGGAAGTAATGCTACAGTGTTTTGATGTCCCAGATAATTGATCAGAAGATCCTTTTCAGCAATGACTCAACTGCAGATTTTTGTGGAGTGCTAACATTCCCTGATGTGAGGAATAGTTTTCCTTTTAAAATGTGCACGGATGGCCTCACCAACTGGGATTTCATGTTGAAGTGTTCTCTCCCCGAGGGCAATGTAACTTCCACTGACCGGGAGTCTGCGTGGGGGAAATGGCCGTGGCTGGAATCAAGGCAGACTGGTCATGAGAGATTTGGCCTTTCTCTGGTTCCCCCTTTTCTATTCATAATCCCAGCCATGGGGCTTACATGATTCAGATGGAGACAAGTACAATCCTTCCCAACCCAGAGCATGTGAAACAGGAGCCTTTATGATTTTGGGCGCTGTCTTTCTGCAGCACTGGACCTCCAGGGACGATCTGCCCCCTGTTTATAAACCTCTGTCAGCTTTCCCTTCAGGGGTCCACAACAGGGCTGGGGCAGAGGACTCCGCCTGGGACCTGCCTGTGTGGTTTCTGAAGGCTCTTCTTTTATTTTTTCATCCTGCCAGTGTCTCAGATACGGCAGTTTCCAGAGCAGAAAGTCTGTAACTTCCTCTGTAGGTACAGATGCTTTACTTTAACCATCCATGAGGCCTTTGGATTTGGCCTTTCCTGGAACTGGACTCCTAACCCTCTGAGTAAAATCTTCATGACCTGCCCCCCTGGTCCTCGGTGCCAATGACCTCTGCCACTGCAGCATCACAAAAATAGACGGCACTGCTGACTGGCTTTTCTAGGCTTCCCTCTCCAAGTCTTTATGACCGTGCCCCGACCACAGCGTCACTGAGTCATTCCCTTACATCATACCCCAAACACTCAGCCTGTTACTGATACGCAGCTCTCAAATTTATTTTCTGTTCATGGTGATAAAGCTGTCGTTCCTAGTTTAGATTAGGAAGACATGAAAAATCTTGTTACATGTCGTGTTGAAAATTATTATTGAAAATCTTGTTGAAAATTATTATTACTGTATATTAATTGGAGAAAAAGTATGAACTTCCAGACTGTTAATTCTTTTTTCCCTTTTTTTTTTAAAAAAAATTATTGTTATTGTTAAAAGTATTACAGATGTCTCCCTTTTTCCCCCATTGACCCTCTCTACCCTGCTCCCACCCCCTCCCCAGGCTTTCACCCCACTATTGTCTGTCCATGGGTTATGCATATGTGCACATATGTGCACATACGTTGTTTGGTTAATTTCTTCCCGCCCTCCCCCCCCAGCTGTTAATTATTAACCATATGTACTGATGAATTCTTCCCAGCCCTCCAATGGGAGGTGCTGTTGGTTTTGATAGGTGAGAGTCCCTCTGTCTCTTGACTTTACTTAACTCTTCTAACATCCACAGATAATTGAAGTTACTTCTTTCTTCTCATGTATTACAACTACAAAGTAATTAATGGCTTATAAAGAGAGAGAGAGAGAGAGAGAGAGAGAGAGAGAGAATGAGAATGTGAATGTTAGGACAAATATTGGTTCCTACTGAACACACTTTCTGATATGATGGCCAAAATGTTTTTCGGAGTCCTTATTAGATATTTTTAGAGTATGTGGCATAATCTTTTAATACCTTCAGTGGCTACAAAATGTGTTACTTTGAGAATGGGTCAGGTAATTGGAGACAGGCAGACATCATTAGGTTTGATAACTAAGGGGGCTGATGCTACAAGGTGACCCTAAAGTCTGGAGACATCATTTTGCCATGTGTTGAAATTTAGTCATAATAAACCCTTTTTATATATTTGGCTATGTCTCCAGACTTGGTGGCTACCCTGTATTTTGGTAAGATATGAGATGTGACTATTAAGTTGGCTTCCTTGTGTAACTTGTAAAGTGGTTCTAAAGTGGTTCCTAAGCTTCTATTTTGAGTAAAAGCAGCATTATTGGTGGTGAACTTAAAAACCTCACTCCTTCTCCAGGATGATTACTTTGGCCAAAAATAATTGAGTAAATTTGCTCTTGACTGCTACTGAAAAAGTCCATTTTGTTACTTTATCCTTATACTAAGTATGTAGACTCTAAGTATGTAAACTATTAGCCATTATTTTATCCTCCCCTTTTCTCAGTGTTCCTCAAATGTACATTAGCTACTAAGTGGCTAAAGACACTTAAATTTCATCCTAATTCGTTCCCATTACCCACTTCTCTGATGGTTGTTAATAAGTGATGAAATTGCTAAAAGTCAGACTTCTTAGTGGGGGAGGAAAAGTGAAGGGTAATACCAGAGAGGTAGCTCAATATGGGATTTTTCAGTTAATTAAAAATTGCTTTAATTTTATTTACATTTTTAGAAAAGAAGACCAAGGTAATTCCAGAGTTTCATCCTACAGCTTAAGAAGCATTTTCATAAAATGCTTTCCTTTTTCTGGTGGTAGTGGTGGAGGGGATGGAATTACTTATTTAAGCCTCTAGTTGGGATAGAGTTTGAAATAGGATGAATTTCTTTATTTTTATTTTCTCTGTGTTTGGTGCAGACTATTTATTCAAGAATTGCATTCAATTCAGAGTAACAATATGAGGTCCTTTCGCCTTTTACATCATTGAAACTCATGCGTTATCTCAGAATAAACTAAAGAGGTAAAATTCTTCGTTCTTTTTGGAAGGGAATTACACCTGATGTAGGTTTGGAAGAATTGATGCAACAGGCTAACTAAATAAGGGAAGCACAGCCCTGAAAAGAAAGTTTTTGTCTGTTTCTTTTGCATAGTTTCATGGTGGGAGGAAACATATCCAACATCATTTTTAAAACTTCATCCGTGAGACATCAGTAAAACCCTTATTTGGTTCATTGAGAGTTGATTGAACTTTTTTTTTTTTTTTTTTTTTTTTTTTTTTTTGGTAATGTTTAAAGCATAGAGATAGGACTTTAAGTAGCTAAGTATAGTTAAACATTTTTGGTGCTCACTAATTATGTATCTGGTTTTAAAGCTGTTTCAGCAAAATATTGTTACAGGTTCTTGTAGCAAACATTGTTAAAATCTGGGCAATATTTGGGATTAAACCACTAGTGAGGGTGAGATCTGAAACTTGGGCAGATCGCCTTCTGCTTCAATGATCGGTTCCACCCTGAAGAGGGTAGTTACACACCACTCTGCACTTGACACATACAAATGCTAAATACAGTAGCAGCATGAGGTCCCTGTCATTAACAGTAATTTATGTAATGAAAGCCACCTGGATTGTGTTTTATAATTAATTGCTTGTAAATAATAAATTTAAATATAATTTATAGTTTTCTAAATTTGATTACTATATAGAACCAACAGCAAACCTAAAAAAAAATTGGCAATGTAGTTCAATGACTTTTAAAGGAGGTATATTTATAAGCATATGTAATATATATAATCTATAATAATAAAAGCATAATATGCTAATTAGACTGGACAGCCGAACAACCTTCTGGATGTATTCCAGACAAAGCCACAGTGGCAGGGGCTGAGGCAGAGGCGGTTAGGGGTGATCAGGCAGGCAGGCGAGTGGTTAGGGGCAATCAGGCAGGCAGGTGAGCAGGTAGGGGCACCAGGCAGGCAGGTAGAGTGGTTAAGGGTGATCAGGCAGGCAGGCAGAGGTGGTTAGGGGCGGTCAGGCAGGCAGGCAAGTGGTTAGGGGCGATCAGGCAGGCAGGCGAGTGGTTAGGGATGATCAGGAAGGCAGGCGAGTGGTTAGGGGCAATGAGGCAGGCAGGCAGAGTAGTTAGGGATGACCAGGCAGGCAGGCAGGTTAGGAGCCAGCAGTACCAGATTGCGAGAGGGTGAATGCTGGGCTGAGGGACCCTCTGCCCCTGTGCATGAATTTTGTGCACCAGGCCTCTATATTTTTTCTTTGAGGAAGTAGTTCCACTAGGAAATATATTTATTTATTTATTTGGAATGGAATGATAATAGTATAATTCAGTTATGCTATCTTTATTTGAGTTGGAATACTAATTTTGAAATAGTCTCACTGATTTAACTTTTATATTATTTCAGACAGCTTTCTAAAAGTATCTGTACATATAATACACACAGAAGAAAGTGCACCTATAAAACAATGATGTAGTAAAACTCTTGAAAAAAATTTTTCCTATTTGAAAAATTTCAATTATGTTTTAAATATAATTTACATATAGGAGAAAATTACTTAAGTATATGTGATATGTTACATACTATGGTGATAATAAGAGATTTTGCCTAGTAGATTTACTAAGCACAGTACCACTAATTTAAGAAGGCGTTACCATATTTTTGTTTATGTGGTTACATATATCAGCTACCAAAATTTATTATTTTTTAATGTAGTGGAAAATACCAGTGATTTCCTTGACTTAAAAAGAAGGTGCTTTAGAGTCCTGTCCTCTATATTTCTCTATTAATAAATATTAATAAAAATAACTATTAATAAATTATGTAAGGCAATTTATTAATAGTTATATCAAATTTTCTTGAACTTCATGAATCTGTTTTTTTAATTAATGTCTCTTTTCCTAAATACATTTTCACTAAAAGCTATATCCTTTAAAATCTGTACTGTGGGTTTGTGTGTGTGTGTTTTTGTAGTATAGAAACTACTATCATCGACAATTATGAAATGTATAGAAAACTCTTGTAAAGGACTTATAAATTACAGGCGAAGTTGCAGTTTTGAGCTACAAACTTTACAAAATAGAAAGATTTACCTTCATATGTGACCAGTGGCATTTTTGCTTCACCATGATTTAGTAAAGTTGAGATATCAGTAATGCAATTTTAGTTAGTTGGACTTGAAAAAATATTTCAAAATTCCCTTTGTTCTTTGTAGAAACTCAAATAAATCATGAAAACCTAGTCCTGTTAAATAACAACATTGCACGTTGACTGCTTATGAGATTGGGAGTCGAGTCGGAGTGGTGCCTGCGCTGGCTGGGATTGTCTATAAAGAGTAAATAAAGATCATGGCTTCTGCTTGTGGTCAGGGTGTGACCACCATCCCTCACCTCAACAGCAGACAGATTTGTTCATAGCTTGGTTTCCGAGGTTTAATAATCCCTCAAGAATTTAGAATGTTGTTGACTGTCCCCATTTACAACACCGAAGAAAGAAGCTTTGCAACAGGTGCAGCTGTATACTAATTGTAGGGTGTGTTTAATCTATCCAGAAGGGAGAGTGACTCCAAATTTGGTATCTTAAAGAGTGGAATGACCTTTTAAAGTCCCAGGATGAGAATTGCCAACAATCGCAACAGTCTAATTATACCCACAAGGAGTTGTGAAGTGCTTTTAAGTTTTTCTATACACCTAGAAGTTCGGTGAACGGCTTAAAGTCATTAACATATGACAGATGCACTCCCTTTTCAAGGGCTCCTATGATAAATTTTGATTGTAGAAGTGGGAATTTGACCCGTAGCTTATCACTCGCTTCATTAGCTTGCTTGAGGACAAGGACTTTTTTTTTTGACATGAGTGTTATCTTACTCATGTTCCAGAATTCCATCCGCCTCCTTCTCCCTGCTGATAGGAAGTCACAGCAGATAACCTTGATGCCGGTTTTTCCAAACCATTTTGTGTATTATGTAGCCTTCCATATATCTTACGTAAAATGTAGAATATTAATATTACACATGTCATGTATATAATATACTTTAATTGCACATCACTTGAGCATGACATTTGAATGTTTGATTATATTATTTTTGAGATACCACCTTTATGTGACTTTTGTTCGTTTACATGGAAAAAAATAGAAATACACTTCTTGGTTTATAAAGAAGACAAAAAGTTTGACTTCTACATTTCCATGAGGTTGACTGCCTTTTGAAATTGGTGAGAATAAGGAAGAGAAGTTTGGGTTTTCTCCTGGGGGACTCTGTACACTTATGAAGGAAAGCACGCTTCCTAAGAATGAAGGAGTGATGGACGTGCCCTCCATGAGGAGATGTGGAAATGGGACATGGAAGGGCCTTATACTGTAAACCCCGTGGCTGCAGCTCTTAAGTGAAATTGCTCTTTATTATCTGCTTGGAAAATCATCTAAAATAAGCCATGCAGGATTAAGGTCAAAAAGCTTCTGATTAAAATCAGGTTTGAGTAATCTAATTCCCTTTCATAGTATCCCTGTATGTACTTCTTTATGAGGCCTGTTTTAATTCCTTAATAGACTATATACGTAAACTTTATTGTAAAATGTTTTCTGTTAAGTTAAAATCTCTGTTTATAGAAGTTACTATTTCCTTAACCTCTCAGGGTTATTTGTAAATTTTATATTCCCAACAGGCATACTCATATCTAGCTGTGTTCCTGTCAATTACCAGGAAGCTCTTTTTGTACAATTAGGGGGTGGTTAATTTACTCTAAATAAGGTTGCCACCTGCCTAGGTATTCACCCCCAAACAGGTTCAAGTCACAGAGAGACTTTTGAGTTTGTGTTTAAAGCCATAGGAGTTGATTACTTAAACTGGCTAATGCCATTTTGGTGGCATTTTCTGGGTTAATCAGTGGAAATAGTGACAGCAGGTGTTTTTTCTTGGTCCCTGTGTGCACTCGGTTGATACACTAAGATGATAAAATTATAGGTGCTCCTGGAAATCTGTGAAAGTAAACTGGAAGGACCTACACATTTCCTTTGTCTCCACTGTTCCCTTATCAGATTGTCCGATGGGTGGGAAGTAACATCCATAAGTGAGGAGAGTTTGAGGACCAGGATGGTGTTTAGTGGAAATAATTGTATTATCTGGTGTCTCAGGGAAATGAAACATGAAGAGCATTAGTTATGTATTTCACAGAAGAATCTGAGAACATAATTTTAGAGTATTTAAAATAAGCTGTGGGATAAATGAAATTTATTAAAGAGCATGCATTGCTTAAAAGTTTTTCAATACAGTCTGTAAAATAAAATACCTTCTCTTGTGTGACCTAATGTGTATGTTCCTGCATTCCATCTGGAGCCTGGTCCCACAGGAGATGTGGGCCCATGGTCATGACCAACTTCTCTGAGGTTGATCCAGATTTATTCTCTTTTTTCTTTTCTTCTTTCTAATTTGAAATTAAATTACAGTCTTGTGCCACATAAGGACAGGGGTATGTTCTAGGAGATGTGTCCTTAGACAATTTTGTCAACATCAGAGTGCACTTAAACAAACGTAGGCGGCACAGACCTACCACACACCTAGGCTATATAGTATAGCCTATTGCTCTAGACTTCACGCCTGTACAGAATGTTACTGTACAAAACAGCATGAGATTAAATCAAGCACACGAGAAAATTATGCAATCAAGAGATGAGGTATGCAGATGTATGAAGCTGCTGCCAGCCTAACACAGCACACTGTTTTACAGCAAACTTTTTTTTTTTTTTTAAGTAGAAAGAATACACTCTAAAATAATGATGGAAAGTATAGTATAGTAAATACATAATCCAGTAACAGTCATTGATTAGCATTACCACCAGGTATTATGTACTGTACATAACCGCTATATGACTGGCAGTACAACAGGTTTCTTTACACCAACGTCACCACAAACACATGAGTAATGCATTGTGCTATGATCATATCACTAAGTTAAGTGACAATTTGATATGAGCTATGTTAATAAAATGTTAAAGATAAAAATGTGCAAATCAGTGAAAGTGTGATTTAAAAAATAACTGTATACTCGTAAAGATTTAGGGCCCCATTGACTTGAAATGAAAAAACCTTGAACTGAGTTCCATTGCTTTTAAAATGTAATGAGTCAGATATGGTCTGTGAATTGTATTCCTTTAGATAAGAATTGGGAAGAGTCCTTCACTGTTCCCTGGCCACAAGCTCCAGGCCTACGGATCTAAGACCCAAGAGGAGGTCTGGCTTCCAAAGCCAGTCGTGCAGCTGTCTTGAAGGCATGGCCCTGGGCAAGTCACTTACTCTTGGAGTTCTAGTTTGTCCATGTGGATAGCAAGAGCACCTTCTTTTTAAAATATCTATATATTTATTGATTTTAGAGAGGAAGGAAATGGGAGGGAGAGATAGAAACATCAATAACGAGAGAGAATCACTGCTTGGCTGCCCCCTGCACGCCCCGTAGTGGGGGGTGAGCCCACATCCTGGGCATGTGCCCAGACTGGGAATCAAACTGTGACCTCCTGGTTCATAGGTCGATGCTCAACCACTGAGCCACACAAGCCAGGCAGGAGCTCCTGCTTTTTGCACAGGCATCCTGTGAAGATAAATGCGTGCAGTGGAAAAGCTTTAAGAATTATGTAGTGCCAAGGTAATCCCCTGCCAATCTGGAGGCTGGTGTTTTTATAAAGCTGGGAAAGGAACCGTTTGACAGTCTGTGGGAGAGAAATGAAATGAGAGCTTCTCTCTAGGTGACTACACCTAGCTCTCTGAGTTTTTAGAATAGGGCATGTACCCTAGAGGTTACTCTGGCTGACTATGGTCTTAGTGTTCTTAAGGAGTGAGTATATTGCTAAAGTCATTTGGAAGCCACATCTAGGCAACAGTTCACAAACGGTAACATGGGGCGGTTTCAATCAGTAAGCAGGTATTTGCATTAAAAACAAAGCAAATGGCAACTGCATCAAAGCACAGGGATAATTGCGTGTTGAAATGATATTTAAGTAAAGCAAGGGGCATGTAGAAAGCCACTTGGAATTGTGGTGTTGTGGAGAAGCAGCTAATTGCTTGCCTCCCTTATCACTTTGCTTCTTTTAAGTGACTTAAGCAAGGTAGACTTTTAAATTGTGCCTTTATAAATCTTTTTTATTTGTGCAATGTGAAAATTATAAATGTATAATTACTCAGGCCTTTATCCAGTCTCAGCTGTGTAGTATATTCTCTCTTTTGGACAGTTAAAAAGACGCTAGCTTTTGTGTCATTTATCCTGGGAAATAAATGAGTAACTTTCTTTCACATCTCCTTTTGCCACACATCCTTTGATTTGGATTGGTTCATAGATAACTGTGTGGGGGGAGTGGGTATGTATTTATTTTTACTTTATGTGTAAGGATAATAAGAATATATGAAGTCTAGTTTTTACCTGGATTTTACTTTGCATTTATTAGGTTACCTGCTCTCGTCAATAGCTACCCGCTCAAGAAAGCTAAGTGTCTCCAGAATTGGTGACCTGTTTTTAAGAGAACTTATAAAATCTTTCTAAATGAAAAATCATTCCAGCAGTGTCCAATATTAGCAATTTTCCTCTGTCTGCTTTTAGAACTTATTGGCCAACCAGGTCAGACATTATTAAAGTTCAAGGGATCCAATGGGAAAAGTAATGGTTTTGTGCTACTATGAATTTTAAATGTTGCCATTTTCCTGTGTTATGGCATCATCTATTCTACTAAAAATGTATAGAACTTTTAGACCAAATTCAGGGTCAAGGTTACAAGAGTGATGATGTGTCTGACTCATTCTGTTAGAATTATGTTGCCCAAATTATCTGAATACCATTTGGTACCAAGATACTTTTATCAAGTCATTTCAAAGAACTTCCTATAAGACTTTTTTTGTTTGTTTCATCACTTCTTGGAAATTTATACAGACATGATTGGAGAATCTGAACTCACGGGACATGATAAGTGGTATTTATTCTACTGAAATAGTAGGGAGTTCTTTGTTTCTGAGAGTAACTGTGTTTTCTGCCTAGCAAAAGCCTTTTAAATATATAACTCTTGGGGAGGCTGAGTCTTCTGCAACATACATTCTGAGAGTTCACTCTCTCCAGCACATGGAGTGTGTCAACAAACAGCTGCTTAATAAACAGCTGTTGAATTACTGAATAAATGAACTGACTACCTCATAGGAGTGGCTTCTAAATATGTAGTCTTGTAATATACAGAATTACTGGATTTAATGAAATGAAGAGAAACTGAGAAGAAAATTTACACAAAATCATGATGGCTCAGTTGAATGAATCCAAGCTTCTCTTTTGAAATGAAGTGAAATGTCCATGTTTCATAAAATCAATTGCTTTTTAATTTTCTTGCTATTATTATTATCTTAGAAGAGGAGGAAAAAAGGTTTGTGTTTTGAGAATCAAAATAGTCCATGCCTAAAGATAGTAAATATTATACTTAGGGGATTGTGTCTTGAACTGAAAAATCAGAGAGGCCTTTGCCTTTTAGCAAATGAATAGCAATTTGTTTAATTGCTGGTATCTCCAGCTCTAAATCTGGTTGCTCACCAATGGTGTTTGGTAAGTGAAATCTATATACTAGTATATAAAAGCCCAGCAACCAGAACAGCAGAATGACCGGTGGCTATGAGGCACACGGTGGCAGCCAACTAGCCTGATCCAGGCCAGGATCGGGCACCAACAACCTGATTGGGGTGGGGCCGGTCACAACCGCCCATGGCCCCTCCTCCCCGCTGGCCCAGCCATTGGGGCCAGCCGGCCAGATCCCACCCTTGCACGATTCATGCAGTGGCCCTCTAGTTCATAATAATAATGATTGGAGAGCCCTCTCAAAGAAATAGCAGATACCAAGAGTTTAAAATGGCTTGGATTTATTAAACAAGAATTAAGGAAACCGAGATAGCTTTGAAGTAGAGAGTTAACTTTTACTCATATTGTATTGCTGTGAATTGTAGTAGCTTTGTTTATGTGACTGTTGAGTTGACTGGGTCCTAAAGACTTCCTGGAGCAGAATTGCTATCCTGGAAGAGATACATTTCTGCCCTGTTTAATCCACAGTTATTTTGGATTTTCTATCCCTTTAAGTTAAATGTATCCCATCTGATGTAGAGATAAAGATACTGGGTTTTATCAGATTGGACTCTGGGCTATCAGGTCCAATCAGAACGTAAGTGGATCAGACCAAGTTTCTCACCATATTCAGAAGTATTTCAAGGTGGGTGCCTGGTGAGTCAGGAGCTTTTCAGTAAGGTTAGCAGTTTTATAATTCCCAGTGCCTCTACTTTCCTGATTCTAGATTTGGTCTGACTGAGTCAAAGCTCAGACATGGCTGTCTCGGTTTTCCCACAGTGACTTGTTTACATTACCTAGCTGGATGTCATAAAGAGAGAGAGTTGGGTTAGGGTGGGGTAACTGGCAATACAAGGAACAGATCAGGGTAATTTTTTCAAGCACCCTATTTATAGTCTGGCCATGAACATCTTTTTCTTGAGGTCATCTACCTCCCTATTTATTGATGTCTTAAAAAAATAGTTGATTGTTATGAACTCTGTGACAGCAAAGGCTGTCACTGAATATTTCTGTTGCATTTTGTATGGACAAAATTTCTAGACTTTAAAAATTAATTAGTAGCACACACTCTCCTATTTTTTGTAAAGCTTAAGATCACTTGTTATGAGGTACCACTGTTTTGGGAAACTAAAAGTCTTCTTTAGCAATGTTATCACTGTCCTGTGTTCACATGTTTATATGCTGTATTGTCTGTGGGTTGCAGTGTTTTAGTTTTTCCCTTAGAGTGGATCTGTGCTGGGTATGAGGTGTGTGCATACCAAGGAATGGGGGGAGGAGGAGGATTATTCTTTCTTTAAGCCATCATTTGAAAGACTGCTCTGTGCAAGGTTCTGTGCTAAATGTTGATGATGTAAAATTAAAAAATATATATAAAGGCAAAAGGAGCCCCTGCCTTAAAGAACTCCGAGGCTAATGAAAAAAAGCAAATGAAGAAAGGAAGAACACTTTAAATTAAAAGTAAACATGAGTCTTATTTATGGGCTCACTAAATCCAGAAGTCTGAAGGGTTTCACAAACTCTTAGACCAAAGCAATTTTATTGAGAGGCCTTGAAACATCAGTGCCAGTCTCCAACAGCCAATGCAGAATCCTTCTCGGTATGTTTTTAATGCTTAAAATTAAGATTTTCTCTTTTAAAAAAAGAACACAGGATTCCTCCGCTGGGTCTTTTGTTTGTTTTTGGTTGGAAGCCACATGCTTTCCCTCTGGTTTTCTTCTTGAGACATTGTCTAATTGTCAGTATCCTGGTACAGTCCGTTTTAATGTAATGATTGTGGGAATTCCCAGGAATCCTCCCTATTTTTATTCTAAAAACAATTCTGAAGGAGAATATTTGCCTTTGCAGTGGGTTTCAGTGGAGCCTAACATTGGACCAGTGAGAGAATAGGGAGACAGGCTATCAGAAAAGGAAAATGAATGTCTGCACAGGAAAATGTAGGCAGTATGATCAAGAGTCTTTCTTCATCTCATTGTCTGGAATGCAGCTGCCACCCTCTGAGCCATGTGAGGAGGAGAAGCCCCATCTTAGTCACGGTGGACAGGTGAGCTGGGGTAGCTGGCTCTCAGGACCGGGAGCCCCAGAATTGAGCTTTGAGAGGCTCTCTCCTTTAGGAGCTAGATGCCTCTGCACATGTTTTGGTAATTTTTCCTAAGCATGCATTTTCTAATCTGCAGGTAGAAAGCAGTCTTTTCAACTGATACCCAGTATTGTTTTGAGAATTTAATGTATATGAAATTATAAGGTATTATACCTATTTTATTGTCTTAATTTCTTAAAACATTATTTATACAATAATTTTATTGGTCTCCTACTTAGAGGGACAAATTCCTTGATATTACCTTTGCAAAACTGGAAAGGATAGTATTGATATAATTACAACATTTAGGGAAAGTTTTTGTTGGCTGACCTTTCTTTCTCTCTCTCTCTCTTTCTCTGTCTTTTTATCTTTTTTGCCCCCCCCCCCCCCCCCCCCCGCCTCCCCGCAAGGGCTTTTAATAGAATTGCTTTGGTCTCAGAATTCATGATAGACTAAATGAAACCCTTCAGTCTGCTGGATTTAGTGAGACCATAAATTAGCCTCATGGTGAATGTATCTTTCTTTCCCCTTTTCATTTGACACAATTCATTGAAATGACGACTACTTATAAGTGGTTAGAATTTTATGTGTGGGGAAACTTGGAGGGAAAAACTTTTTAAAGTGGGATGTTTGTTCCTTTCATCATAGTATCACCCGCATTTGGTCTCACCTGCATTTGATCCTTTTCAGGGTGCGTATGCTTAAAAATAGATCTCAGTGTGTTCCTTGATGTCTGTATCTTGGAACTGAAAGAGTTTATATTCCAAATTGACTTTCCAGCATTTTTACTATCACAGGTAGGGCAAAGCTGGTGGGATCTAGTTTCCTTCATTGACAGGGAGTGGGCTTGTGGTAGGGGTGGGGACCATTGGACCTGCCTGTAGACTTCCCTCTCTCCCCTTAACTGGCATAGACCAGGTTGGGAGGAAACCAAAGCAGGTGTTTTGGAGGCTGAGGAGGAGGAGGAGGAGAGTAGAGGAGGCAATTGTGAGAGCTCTGTCATGGGGAGCCGGGCCCAGCAGTCGGGCTGGCCTTGAGCATGGGGCTTGATCTCCTGGCAATAACAGATTCTCCAGTATCTGTAATACAAGCTGGGTTTGTAAAGACAATGTTCCCATTACATAAAAATCTGGGAATCATATTTTACATCAGCAGCCTTGGGGCCGAGTTGGAAGAAATAAGAGAAGCCAGTGTGACAGCAAACAGGACTTAATCTCAGGCACTGGAGTGTTTGGCCAAAGCTACTTACATTTGTTCTCCCTGAGGTTCAGGTTGGTCTGGGAGTCATGGGAAGACTTCAGGATGAGGTCAAGCAGCTCCAGAAGGTACCGGGCAGAGCCTGGCGCTTCTAGCAGGCGCAGTGAGCACATCTCCAGGTGAGTACTGTCTTGAGTTACCTCAGGGTTTGTATCAGGGAAGGCAGCCTTTCGGCTCCCTCTGATCTGGGGAGGGAGTGTGAACCTTGGGAAGTCATTTTGATACTGAGAAGAAAATTTAAGTTTCTTATATCAAAATCTTTCCAAATATGTGAGAGACAATTCTTTGGAGCTACTGATGCACTAGGCATGTCCAAATTTGGGGGGAATCAAATGCAATGCAAGCTTCAGTTCTATAGAATAAAGGGCACCTGCCATTGTCTTTTTTAGTTGGGTGGTATTTTTTAGGTGCATAATGAAATCAAGTCATAGAATATATATGACAACAAAAAGGTATATTTTCTCCTCTGAATTTTTATTTCTTCTTTTCCCAAATATATTTTTGTTGATTTTTAGAGAGAGAGGAAGGGAGAGGAATGGAGAGATAGAAACATCGATGAGAAAGGAAGTCATTGATTGGCTGCCTCCTGCACAGCCCTCCCCCCATCCCCCGCCCTGGGGGATCTAGCCTGCAATCAGGGCATGTGCCCTGACTGAGAATTAAATCAGCGACCTCTTGGTTCCTGGGTCGATACTCAACTGCTGAGCCACACCAGATGGGCTGAAGTTTTATTTCTTACATAAATAATATTGAAATCAGAAAAAAAGAATAAAGAATAAATAAATCACCTGTAACTCCATACTCTTACACAGTTTTTTAAACTGCTTTCTTTTATAGACCTTGAAAACATGCTTACTTAAAATTGTAATGATAAACATAGTGTAAATATAGCTATATACATATTTTACTTCAAATTAGAGCTAAAAATATACTCATTTCCAGCCAGCAGTTGCACATTAACTTTACTGGGTGATGAATCAGATCTGTAGAGATGAACTTGAATGGTGAGAAGGTAGAAGCCTTTGTGTGCAGGATCCATTCTCTTGGCAGGTGTGGTGGTGGTGGGGGGTGCGGCACAGGGGGGATTGATCTGGTGTAGGAGGCCCCATGGGGTGGAACTCTCAGCACTCTGGGCAGGGAGGTGGCAGTGGTATCTGATGGGAATTCTCCTGTCTAGGGGTTTGGGCATTGTTCTTGGTTATGAAGCTTCTTAGCCTGACTTTCTGGTTCTGTGGGAGATGCCATGAGCTCTGTAAAAGTCTAGAGTAACTTCCCTTTGTGTTGACACTCGATTGAGTAGAGTGGCAGGGAGTGGCAACTAATAACCTAGTGATGTTGGAGTACAAATTTTTGAAGGTAATTTTATCATTTGGATGCTGAAATCCAAGTATTATGTAAGGTTTGAGGCCAAAACTGCTTATGTTCACATGCTGGCTATTAGTACTAATATTAGTACTATTATGTTAATTCAGATAAGATACTTCCACCTTTGCCTGTTTCTTAAATACTACTACTGCTTTTATTATTACAGTGATGGCAGTTAGGTAAAATGGTACCTGGTACTCAAGAAACTGTCCACCAGTGTTGCTATATTTGTTGTCGTCATCACCATGATCACCATGACAGTAGTTATTTGTTGAGTGCCTACTTTTTATTAGACTGAAGGAGTTCAACAGAAATGGAGAAAAGTTACAAGTTGGATGTTCTGGCAAAAGTTGGTGTATAACAAAGCATAATTGTGTTGTGCATAAACTTAGTGACTGTACTCCATATCTGCTCATCCTCTGGGTTTTCCTTAGGACACACAGAGAAGTAGGGAAGGCATTCACCACCATTTAAGATTGGTTTTATTGGGATGAGTGACAATAAGTGCTGAGATTAACTGCCAAATGGATTTGATTGTGAATTAAGAATAAAAGGCTGTGGTAAGAGTTAAGATTTTGTGTTTAATAAGAGAAGAGCTTAATGCATTTTAAGGCATTCCTTTTGTTGTTTTAATATTCTTAGCATTTATTATTAAAGTGGGGTGGTTGTAGAATAATTATAGTCCACATGATGATGATGTTTTTAGAGAAGATTGAAGTTCTACAGTGTTTTCAAACTAATGTAGTAGGGAAAATATAGTATCTGAAGCTTCAAATAGTTTGACCTTCATAAGAACACTATGAGGCTATGTAAAAGCACTAAGTATTCAGGAACTTAGTTTTATGCCAATTCCTGCATTTCCTTGTTAAATTCTTAAATGAAAAGCATAAGTTTGGCAATTGGAGTTTTGGTGTAGGGGACAAAAGACACGGAAAGAGTATGAGATTATTAGTACTATTATGTCAATAAAACTGAAAATTTATTTGGGAAGAAAGCAGTTGAGATGGTAGTTCGATTTTTATAAATTACAACAATTAGAAAGTGAATCTGGCCAATCATTTTTACTGTTCTCTTTATAAGGTCTCTGTGACCTATTAAATTAAGAAAGATTAGGAGGGCAGAACACATATTTTGTACAGAAATGGAGTAAGGAAATGTTTAAGTGGTTTTGTACAATATTCTAAACTTTTTACTGTGAAAAGGTTAAAAAGTAATTGTGCTTATTAGACATAGACTAGCAGCATTATGGTTACAGAATTAAATTTGCCTGTAGATGTTCATTCATTCATTTATGATGATGTAGAGGGGCAGAATGACTTGGTATTCTAGCAGGATTTCAGAAACCGAGGAATTCCCTGAGAAAAGATGATTACTCAGACATTCTCTGTATAAACAAAACCAGAAAATATTTGAAATCCAGAGGGGGGAAGAAATGGACACCAGTGAGTAAGATCAGAATGCTTCATAAAACTCAATCTGTGGAATAAGTAAGCTGATACAGGCACAAATTTAGTTTTCTGTGGAAGTTTTTAGTATCTATGCCCAAGAAAGAGATAGTTAAAAAAGAACTCAAGAGAGAGCGTAACCCATCCCTAAAACTTGGAGAATTGGCTGTCTAGCTGGGAATATTGAAGACACTAGTGACTCAAAGTGTGGCCTACTGTGAGTGGACCTAAGTGTCTAGTTCATTTTGGGGCTGCCATAACAAAATACCAGAGCCTGATGGCTTAAACAATAGACATTTATTTTCCCAGAGGTCTAGAGAGTTTGAGATCAGGTTGCTAGCATGGTCAGGTCCTGGTGAGGACACTCTTCCGGGCTTGCAGATGGCACCTTCTCACTATGTCCTCACTTGGCCTTTCCTTGGTGGGTGCACTCAGAGTGATCTCTTTCTTCTTCTAAAGCAACTAATCCCATCATGAGGGTTCTTCCCTTGTGACCCAATCTAACCCTGATTACCTCCCAAAGGTCCCTTTTCCAAACATTGTAATTTGTTACAGCATCTTAGAAAACTAAAGTATTTGCCTATAGTAGGATGTTTAATAAATTTTTACTTTTAAGATAAAGTAAAAGTAATTTATTTGGTTTGACAAGCTGTTGTTTTAAGAAAACTGAGGGAGATGAGAATTGGTAATGCTTTTAGCTCTGAATATTACTGAGGAAAAGTGAACAATGTTATTTGGTGCTATTTTAGGTCTAAGGCTTTTGCAGAAGAAAAAGCAAATGCTATCATGGAGTAGGAGGAGAATGCTTATTGGTTAGTGGTAAAAGCTATCTCATTCCATCCATGGTAATAATATAATGGGTTGTCTATTAAATTACGCTGAACATTGTTTGTTAGAAAAGTGATTTTGTCACTTTAATGAAAATGGATAACCATTGTTCTTTAGTGCCTCATTTTGTATACTTAACCATTTTGACATGTGCCCTTCTAAAATTAAATGCATTTTAAGGATGAGGAGTGTCTCTATTTTCCTTGACATTGGCCACTATGATAGAAGCATTGAGAGTCAAACAAATAAGTTTGAAGTTGCTGCAAAGAGCTGGGCGCCTTTATGGTCCTCATGACCTACCTACTTGTCTCTTTTCTTGGGATTATCTGGTTCAAGTCAGATACCTTCTCATAAAAAGACTCTTTCAATACTTGAAGAATTGTGAGGTTGAATATAATATATATAAATATATTTTTAAATAAATTATTCAGGTAAATATCTGGTGGTTCTTTTGTTAAATATCTGTGTTTAGTTTTGCATAAAAAATAATGTAGTTTTTAGCAGTGAAGTAGTTATGGTGTGTGTAACACCATGAAGTGATTATTTAACCTCTGTTGGGGAAAGTGGTATCTTATAATCAATGGTGAATGAAAGGAGTTAATTATTTTCCTTCATGTTCTCACCCTGTGGTCTGATTACTTTAAATGCCTAGAAGTCTTAATAAACAATTCAATCACTATAGCTATTGACCTAGAATAGACCTGCTGTTAGGCCCACACAGAAATGCCCAGTGTCAACATGATTACAAGTCATTATTATTAGGACCAAGGCAGTTTCCTGATACACTATACGTACTTAGGGCTGTATGCAGAGAGAAATTTAATCTAAATCTTTGAGATGTGAAATTGGTAAAAATCATAGAACTTTTAAGATGAAAATGGATTCTACATTGCTGGATCATATGGGACCTCTATGCTTAACTTTTTGAGGACTGGTCTAATTGTTTTCCAAAGCAGTTGTACCAATTTATAACCCTACCAACAATAAATGAAGGTTCTAATTTTTTCACAAAAAAATAAAAGAAAATGGATTCTACAGTCATGAATCTAGGTACAAATGGTAAAACTGAGTCTTTGAAATATTAAGTGATTTTTCTAATTGGATTTTAACCAGTTGACTGCCACAATATTTTGAATTTAATTTAAAAAGGTCTGCTGCTTGCGTCTATAGACACTTATGGCGTACAAATTGTTAAGTCAGAGAAAACTAGGTACTGAAGAACTAAGATGGCCCTAAATCAGATGAAAGAACACATTTACCTGGAAAAATAATCACTTTTTATATTGAGAGGT